AATACCAACTGATGAAGAGCAATCCATTCTGGTGGACTAGTCAACGACACGACGGAAAACTCTGGAACCTCAATGCCTACCGCACTGATGTTATCCAAGCATTGGGTGGTGTCGAAACAATTCTGGAGCACACCTTGTTCAAGGCAACAGCTTTCCCATCCTGGGAAGGTTTGTTCTGGGAAAAAGCCTGTCTTGCCAAGGGAACCCGTCTATTGCGATACGATGGGACCGAGATCAATGTTGAGGACGTGCGCGAAGGTGACCAACTTCTGGGTCCTGACGGCGAGCCTCGCCGTGCATTCAACATCGTGAATGGCATCGACCGCCTATACCGCATTAAGATTGCCGGCGAGAAAGAAGACCTTGTCGTAACGCCGAATCACATTCTGGTGCTTTATCGAGAGGAGGAGGCCTCCGATGGTCCCAAAAATGCGGAAAGGCAAACAGTGGAGATAACTGCTGCCGAGTTTGCTGCGCTTTCTACAGAAGAAAGAGGCCTGCACAGTGCCTTTACATCTTCCAGGGTTGAGAAGGACGTCGAAAACTCAGCTCCTCAAATGCACAGTTTCAAGATCGAGCACATCAGCCTCGAATATGAGGAGACAGAGTGGGCTGGTTTCCGAGTCGACAAGGATCAGCTTTACCTGCGCCATGACTACCTTGTCCTGCACAACAGTGGTTTCGAAGAAAGTATGAAGTTCAAGAAGCTCACCAACGCTCAACGGTCCGGTCTAAACCAGATTCCCAACCGTCGATTCACTCTCTGGTGGTCCCCGACCATCAACCGCGCCAATGTCTACGTTGGTTTCCAGGTGCAACTTGATTTGACTGGTATCTTCTTGCACGGCAAGATTCCTACCCTGAAAATTTCATTGATTCAGATTTTCCGTGCCCATTTGTGGCAGAAAATTCACGAGTCGGTGGTTATGGATTTGTGTCAAGTCCTGGATCAGGAACTGGAGCAGCTTGGCATCGAGGCCGTTCAAAAGGAGACCATTCACCCACGTAAATCTTACAAGATGAACAGCTCTTGTGCGGATATCCTGCTCTTTGCGACAAACAAATGGAATGTCACCCGGCCTTCGCTTGTATTCGATACAAAGGACGTCTACGAGCCAACCACCACAAACAAGTTCTGGATCGACGTGCAGCTTAGATATGGTGACTACGATTCTCACGACATTGAGCGGTACGTTCGTGCTAAGTACCTTGATTACACCACGGACAGCATGAGTATCTATCCTTCCGCCACTGGGTTGATGATTGGTATTGATCTTGCATACAATCTCTTCTCGGCTTATGGACAGTACTTCCCTGGCCTCAAGACTCTGGTTCAGCAGGCTATGGCCAAGATCATGAAAGCCAACCCAGCCTTGTATGTCTTGCGTGAGCGTATACGCAAGGGTCTCCAGCTGTATGCCTCAGAGAGCAGCCAAGAGTTCCTCAATTCTCAGAATTATTCTGAGCTTTTCAGCCCGCAGATTCAGCTCTTTATCGATGACACTAACGTCTACCGTGTCACGATCCACAAGACTTTTGAGGGTAACTTGACCACAAAGCCCATTAACGGTGCAATCTTCATTTTCAACCCTCGTACTGGACAACTGTTCTTGAAGATCATCCACACAAGTGTCTGGGCAGGCCAAAAGCGTCTGGGTCAGTTGGCCAAGTGGAAGACAGCCGAAGAAGTTGCAGCTCTTATTCGGTCTCTCCCCGTGGAAGAGCAACCGAAGCAGCTGATTGTTACCCGTAAGGGTCTTCTTGACCCTCTCGAGGTCCACTTGCTCGATTTCCCTAACATCTCCATTCGTGCCTCTGAGCTCCAGCTGCCCTTCCAGGCCGCCATGAAGGTCGAGAAACTGGCTGATATGATTCTCCGTGCAACTGAGCCTCAGATGGTACTTTTCAACTTGTACGATGAGTGGCTCAAGTCTATCTCCCCGTATACTGCCTTTTCTCGACTCATTCTCATTCTTCGGGCTCTTCACGTCAATATCGACAAAGCCAAGATCATTCTTCGGCCCGATAAGACCGTTATCACTCAAGAACACCACATCTGGCCGTCTCTGTCGGATGAGGACTGGATCAAGGTCGAAGTGCAATTGCGTGATCTGATTTTGAACGACTATGGCAAGAAGAACAACGTCAATGTGCAGAGTTTGACTAGTACTGAAGTTCGTGATATTATCCTGGGTATGGAGATTAGTGCGCCTTCTCTACAGAGACAACAGGCGGCAGAAATCGAGAAGCAGCAGGAAGAGCAGAAGCAGCTCACTGCTGTGACAACCAAGACTCAGAACGCTCGTGGTGAGGACATCATCGTCACCACTACGTCTCAGTACGAACAGCAGTCATTTGCATCTAAGACGGAGTGGCGTACTCGTGCAATCGCGACCTCCAACCTCCGGACGAGATCCAACAACATCTATGTCTCCTCTGATGACATTCGGGACGATGGCTACACTTACATCATGCCGAAGAACGTCCTCAAGCGATTCATCACCATCGCTGATCTCCGAGTGCAGGTCACGGGCTACATCTACGGTAGCTCTCCCCCAGACAATGACCAAGTCAAGGAGGTTCGCACCATTGTCATGATTCCACAAGTGGGTAACACCCGGGACGTTCAACTGCCACACCAATTGCCGCAGCACGATTATCTCCAAAATTTGGAGCCACTTGGTATCATCCATACGGTTTCTGGCAATGAACCGCCGTACATGTCTGCGGCAGATGTCACACATCACGCACGCCTGATGAACGCCCATCCTTCGTGGGATAAGAAGACCGTGACCATGACCGTCTCTTTCACTCCTGGATCCGTTTCACTTGCCGCCTGGGGTCTCACTCCAGCGGGCTACAAGTGGGGCGCGGAAAACAAGGATACAACTTCCGATCAGCCACAAGGCTTCTCCACCAACATGGGTGAGAAGTGTCAGCTGCTCCTCAGTGACAAGATCCGCGGCTATTTCCTTGTCCCCGAGGATAATGTGTGGAACTATAGCTTTATGGGCAGCTCTTTCGGTAGCGTGGAAAAGAGACCTATCTACGTCAAGATTGACACCCCGCTTAGGTTCTACGATGACCAACACCGTCCCCTGCACTTCCAAAACTTCGCTGAGCTCGAAGACATTTGGGTTGACCGGTCTGACAACTTTGCGTAAACATGTGCAGCTGATCAGGCGTTGCAAAATCGATTTTATTTTCTTCCAAGCGTTATCTTTTTTTCCCCCTTTGTTGTTTCATTTGGGTTGTATCACGACAACCTTAATTCATGTATTGAAGCGCGAAAACCTAGGGAAAAGGCTGTGGATCTTTTTTTTTGTACAGTACGAGTTTCCTTTTGCGAATACATTTTCTGTTCACTTCAACTTCTTCATTTTAGTTTTTAATAAGTCTGTATACGAGAATGCGGTTGGCTTCGGAACTGGTTTACATTGCCAGCTTTCCTAAGATTGTGATGTGAAGGCTGTGCAGGCGCCCAATAGAACTAAAGATATTGGCCGAAGGTCCGAAGGGTAAAAGTCAGAGTAATAGGCAATTAAGAAAAAAAAGAATGACATATAACATATAATATACATCCAACATACGCACCTATGCAGCTACTAAGTGCTCTATATTGAAATCGAGGTTTGCCTAAGCTCTCTCCACTTTGATGCATCAGACCTTTCCTATTGATAGGTGACGGCCCGCATGCAGCTAGAATATCGGCAGTCCATCCGAATTACATCTCCTGTTCTATCATTCGACAAATCCAACAGGAAATAAAGGGGTGTAGGAGAGGTGTGTTAGTGTGAGTGTGGCTGAAAAATGTGATGACTTGCCAACTTAATCAACTCAACCAACTTGACTTCCATCTCGTCCAATTATCTCTTCCACGCCCTAATCGTTGTTAGAATGTCTTTCTTCCAACCTTATGGAACTCTGTCAAGTCCAAACACCAATCCTAGGTATCTGTTTCATCCCCCTGTTTCTCTCATTCTATTCTATTGGGCATCTGTGATTGACTCCCGCAGGCCTTGGCTCCGAAGAAACCCGAGGCAACAAACAAATAGCTTGCTATTATTCGACTAACCTATACCGTGTCAATCAGCCGATATGATATGTCCGTCTCTCTTTCAGCAAAACAACGCGGTTGCATGGAAGATCTATCCCACGAATCAGCTGTTACTCGATTTGCTATGTCCTCGAAGTCTGACAGGCCTCATCTGTCGGCCGTGTCTTGGTTTTTTTTTTTTTTTATTTATTTATTTTCTGTTATGGCTCTTGACATTCTTGGTCCTAGACTCACCCTGGTCGCATGTTTTGCGTTTGGTGTTCCTCCCATTAATCATTAATAGGCGCTTTTCCAACAATACTTTTTGGATTCTACTGCTTAGACGTTTTTTTTGAACCCCTCCCCTTAATGTTGGGAGTCTGTGCGAGAGCAAAGGAAGAAGAAAAAAAGACACCTATGAACGCCGGAAAGATGGGATACAACCTGCCTATCGCGAAAGAACTTGATGATTCGAATCTTCTTGCAGTCCGGTCCACTGGAGACTGATGGAATCAGCCCGGCAACGCACGCTCCAACTTGGTCACCGGCACAGCTTTGCACTTCTCTCAGGGGACTCTTCAGATGTTGTTATAGATGTGTCCTTCTCTTCGTTTCTCGTTCGCGCATAATCTATGGGGGGAAATATTCTTTGTTATTTCACCCCATACTTTAAGTCTGGCCAGTTCTTCTGCAACACCTACCTACAATTTGACCCAAAGTAACTCTATCTATACTCTTCTGCACGTCAACGCGTTGAGGCCTTTCTATTCTTTGTTGCGACTACATATACAGGCAAGTTCCTCTTCGCATCGTCCTATGCAATAACAGAGGTCTTTTCTTTTTCTTTGCCTTTCATCTCGAGGGAGACACTTCAGAAATAACCACGACCTGGAATTGTTCCCCTCTCAACAGCCACCCAGCTCACCTGCCGGGGCTACAGGCCCTGGTGTTGATTATATATCATATGTCTTCAACACCAGCGGACCCTTATCGAGGCCCCATGATTAACTACAGTCCTCATGACAGTAGCAAAAATTCGAATCGGGAGGATATCATTTCCTACGGTGCACATCAATTTCCCCAAGATAGGCCCACTGAAAATCGCTACCACCCTGATACAATCCAGCCAGTCTATGGGTCTCCATCGACTTTTATCACGAACCACTCGCATCCACGCCAGTCGGGCTCGCATTATAACACAACCGTTTATAGAAACTCCCCAATCCAGGGTAGCAGAAAACGACAACGTACCGACAATGATCCTGGGCCCAGCGGCGACACTGATCACACGTATGGGTACCCACCTATCTTGCAAAATATACACATAGGTGACCCATCGGCTCCAACAGGCGAATCGACCGACCTGACGTACGCTGATCATGTCGGCCCTTCGTCTTCCCACCAGACATCGAACCAGGACTACCTCCAGATTGCTCTCCCGCAACAACATCACCATCATCGGCTACCACCCCAAGCATTCGGGGCTGCGACCTCCACTGATCAGGGCTCTGAAGCCAGGCAAATCGACCGTAGCATCATGAACCGCCCAGGCATGCCTAAACCATGCCCTGCGCCAAAAGCACCAAAGACTAGATTCGGTCCTGTGGAAGATGCGACGTTGATAGACCTAAAGGAGAATTGGCAGCTTTCCTGGAAAGATATTGGATTGTGGTTTCCAGGGCGAAGACAACAAACATTGCAAGTCCGTTACTGTACCAAATTGAAGGAAAGGAATGTGGTTTGGGATGATGACTTGGTAAGTTTATCCCCACACAGCCAAGAAATTGACTTTGTGCTAAGTCCCAGAATAGGACCAGAAATTGAAAAAGGCGCTGAAGGACTATGAAGACAACAAATGGTCGCAGATTTCCCGGAAGGTTGGGCCTGGTATACCAGCAGCAACGTGTAAGCTGAGAGCCGAAGAGATTGGATGATGTTGGAGTGTCTATTGTTCCAGTCTAGATGAACTTTTTTTTTATTATACTATGACCTATAGTGCATGTCGGCCTAAGCTATTCAAAGCTTGTCTTTCAATATATAATATCACCCCGTGCCCTACACAGAGAAGCCCTAGATGTTCGAAAACGGACATTCTGCCGCTCGTAGAACAGACCGCCTTCACGAAGCTCCCGCCAATCAGAAACGCTGACACATCATTAGTCGCGGTCATATTGGATAGCCCATCCACCAATCACAGGCGCTCGGGCCAAAGCGGCTTCAAACTCACCCAACCTCAAACCTCCAAACTCCCTCTCCTGCCCCAAACGCCCCGCGTAATCAACCCCATCACCTCCAGGACAATGTTCCTCCAACGTACAGCCTCCGCCCTCGCAAGGCGCTCGCCTGCCCGCGCTTTCACCCTCGCCCAGCGCCCTTTCTCTTCCTCCATCGTTCGCTGTACGTGACTCCTCGAATGGCCTGATCCGGCCTTCGCACAACTGCCTCAATCCTCGCGCACCCCAACCACAAGGGATGATTTGCAGTAATTGATTTGTAGTCAATTGATCTGGATTATCTGTCATGATTATCAGCTAATTTGAAACTTCTATAGCCACTGAGAAGAAGTGGACTCCCAAGCAGGAGGGCAAGATCCTGACCTTCGAAGGTTAGTACTTTACCCGACCCCATAGCAGTCAATTGCTTCCCCCCAGTCTACACGGCTCGAGATATATTCATATAGACGACCATTCGAGAATATGCATGCAATTGGACGCTATGGAACCTCGAGTGCTAGTCATGCGGATATCTTTCCCGAGCCACAGGCCAGGCTTTCCATTCTTCATCAATTGGATATCTGAAAAACAAATCACTGACTTATCTCCCTTGCCGTTATATAGAGATCAAGGTCGAGGACGACCTCGTCGCTCCGGGTGCTAAGCCCGGTACCATTCCCACCGATGTCGAGCAGGCCACCGGTCTTGAGCGTCTGGAACTCATCGGAAAGATGCAGGGCATTGACATTTTCGACATGCGTCCCCTTGATGCCTCCCGCCTGGGTATGACTCCTTGATACCTCTCTCAACTTCCCACCACAAGTCCTGGATGAATAACCAAATACTGGCGGAATCGCATGATCGTTACTTTGGGACAAAGACCCAGACCTTGGCTAACCAAATGGGTGGATTTATACAGGCACACTCGCAGACCCCATCATTGTTAACAGCGCCGGTGATGAGCAGTACGCCGGTTGCACCGGTTTCCCCGCAGACTCCCACCAGGTCAACTGGCTGACCGTATGATTGTCCCATCCAAGCCCGTCCGGGCCAATATCTCCAGCTCTAGAGACTGACACTACGCCTTTTAGGTCTCCCGCGAGCGCCCCATTGAGCGCTGCCTCGAGTGCGGAAACGTGGTCAAGATGAACTACATCGGACCCGAGGAGGACCCCCACTCCCGTATGTTTCCCGCTTTCTTTTCTCCCCATGGTATATGATAATCTGTTGGTCATGCTAACATTTTCGCTCTAAGACGACCACGACCACGGTCACCACCACCCCGCTCCCGTCGAGCCCAAGACCTTCGCCGACTACGTCAAGCCCGACTACTGGTACCGGTAGATCTTTAATGCAGATTTTCTGCTTGTGCGGTGGTTTTCTTTGGTTATGACTTGGAAATCCCAATACAGTGTGAACAATATGCTGCGGGTCTGTCTCTATTCTGTCTCCGTGACTCCTGTCTCTTTTGTAGTATAGTGCTCTAGTAGATGAAATGAGAGTGTTGGTGGAGTTATTACTTTTGACCTATGAACGTCTGTTTGGGTTTGTAGTTACCTATCTATGTGTGAGATGGGTTATCACTGGTGCTCCTATAGGAAGAACTTCCTTGATACTGGTGTTAAAAGTTCTTGGAAAGAGAAAAACAAAAACTCTATTTTTATGTATAAATGTTTGGTAGCCCTTCGATTCTCGCCCATCGCCGAGCACCTGGTGCCGAAGGAAGGTCTATCCATATCTCACTTTTAATCTAAAGGGGAAAAAATGCGGTAAATTAGTAGAGTGAAGCTTCAACATCATTCCAAAAAGAAGCAAGATCACTCATGGAAATGACATCATATATCAGTCAATGCCTAACGACCCACGAAGCGAAGTTCGACGAATCTGAGAGGAGGATAAACGAGCGCAGTCCAACAGAACCCGACGTAAATTCCCATCTAGCGAGTAATACGTTAGAATCAAAGACACACATTATGGGAAGTGGGATCAAACTTACATCAGCACCGTAATCGCCGACCAACTTGGCAATAGGTCCGATATACCACACCTGCGCCATACACAACACAGCACCCACCCAGCCAATAACAAAGGCAGTGAAAGCCGCAATACCAATGGGCAACTTTGACGGATCCCTCCAGATCCCCCAGTTGTATCCAGTGCGGAGACGGAAGATGAACCGCTCCTCGAGGACAATGGCAATCCAGATGACAACCCAATAGCCCATCAAAGCGAGGAAGTTGGTGAAGATCTCAGAGAGATTGCTGCGGCCAACTAGCGCACAGACAGTATAGATAATGACGGCAATGGTATTCCAGATGACACGCGGGACTACCTCGGCGTAGCGACCGAGAATCTGGAAGTCAATGCCGGCGGAGTAAGTGGGCGCCACGGTATTGGCGATCAGGCCGAGGGCGCAGATCACAGAGCAGAATTTACCGAAGCCGTGCAGCGGACCGAATCCTTCGACAATCAGTGCTCCTTGGCCTTTATCGTAGGCGGCAGAGTACTCTGGGTGTGTGGAGATGCCCGATGCCAGCCCGACGCCGCAGACTAGGGCCAGTGTGAAGGAGACAAGGAGGCCTGACAGGCTTAGGCCGAATAGTTTCACCCGAGAGGTGTTTTCGGGGTAGTAGACGAAGAAGTCGGCTGCAAGTGGAGCATAGGTAACTGCAGCGCTCAGACAGATGGAGAAGAAGGATAGCCTGAGACCATGTGAGAAAACTTGAGTGTTAATTCTTATATCTGAGATGAAGACTTACCTATTGCCAGCGATTGTCCGGGGATCGCCAATAGAGGCGGTTGACAAGTCAAATTTCACGGATGACACTCCGAAAAGAATGGAGACCACGATTACTTGGGGCAAAAAGGCAAATCTAGTATGAGGCCCGTTAGTGACCACTATTCCTCATAGCAGTAATCTCTCAAAACGAACCGTTCATAGTAGTGGAAGACTTGGATGCCGAATGTGGCCACAGCCCAACTGATAACCGCGATGATCACAATTCCTATAATATCAAGATTAGTACCACTATTGATGTATAAAGTTCCCAAATTACCTACCGACAGCCACGGACATGCCACCAGGGGAGACAGCAGACAGAATTTGTCCGCCAACGACGCAATCGATCAAGCCGTATCCAATCATCTGAACAAGGTTCAATAGAACAATGATCTTGCTGGGCCACCAGCCCATCGAATATCTTCCAAATGCCTGGTCACCAATTAGCTCTCTCAATCAAATAATAGTCCAATAAATTCAATATCTGCTACGCACCAATGTCCGGATCCCCGAAACAGGCCCCCAGGTGGCCATCCAAGAGGAGACGATGGAACCAATTAAGCAGCCAAAGACAGCACAAAGTGCAGAGTCCCGGAAGCTGAGACCATACACCGCAGGCCCTAACATCCCGAGAGTGATGTTATTGGGTGCAAGGTTGATGGAGATCCAAAGCAAGAAAACTTGCAAATACGACATCCACGTGTTGCGCTTCATGCGCTCATCGACAGCAACTCGTTCAATACCACGCGCTTCCAGATTATACTCCATGAGCTGGTTCTCAAAAGCTCTAATAATGGAGCCCAATCGAGATCCAACGGGATTGCGGCGATTGGTCGTGGTCTCGGCGTAGAGCACCTCATCCTTGTTGGCCACACTGGAGGGTTCAGGCGCCAATGTCGTCAGGTCTTCCTTGTTGGAGTGCACCGCTAGGGCGGTGATTTCATTTTCCGAAGCCATGCTGCGTCTCTGTTAGTATCACACCTAATTTATGAGGAAAGAAAAACCGCATTGAGTCCTTTCGCTGGAATTACCCAGATCAAGTTTAACCGTATATTCTCAGAACGACAATTGTCGAACACCGGTCTTCATGCAGGAGGCTTGTCCTAGATACCTTGATCGTGAGAGAATGCCACACTACTCGTCTTCATGGTAGCCGTTTCCTTGCACAGATTGTGTTACCTTCCGAGAAGAGTCACTATGAACACACTGTAGCGTCAGCGGACTTAGTAATATCAGGCAATCACAGACAGAGCCTTGGCTTACCTTGAAGTCAGATGAGGCTCTTCAAGTCCAAAACAAAGTAACGAAAGAGTAACAGGTTGTTGATTGAAAATCACCCAATTTCCAGTGGGGGAAAAAATGGGGAGATTAGATATTGGCGGGGAAAAAAAATAAGATTGTTCCCCCTAGCTTTTTTCGCCTCCACCTTGCCTGACATACTACAAAGAATGTACCATACCTCCAGGGCTAGTACTACTTACAAGGGACCATTGTGTTTCTCTTCTGTTTATGCAATTTCCTCATACTGGAACCAGTGGGAATCATATGGTATTGATGGACACAAAAGCGCAACAAAAAAAAAAACCAGCGCTTGTCAAATCAAAACAGACAACGCCTTTGGGGGAAAAAAAACATGGGCTGATCGCAAAATAGACAGGATGCGCATGTATTCATAGCGCATTTAGAAGAGAATAAAAATTGAAATAAGGAGGTCCAGATCACCAACTCCATCTGCCTTGTAAAATCAGTGGCCTCCAGCGACCACCGATGAAACTTGCATCGCTCTGGAATTGCAGGGAATCCGGAAGAGAGAATGCCAAATTCATAAAAGATGCTAAGAAAACAATATCATCACTTCATCAGAGGCGTCATGGTGGTCAGACGTTCTTGAAATGCTCTTTGGCATACTGTTCGCAAGCCTGTCGGAAAATACCGAGATTAGATAGGATACACAATGTCATGCATGAAATTCCGATACTCACTTTGGCAGGCTTTCCCACTTTCTGACCGATCACCTTCCACTTATTGGCCTCGTACTCCTTGATTGCCTCGCGAAGCTTCACAGACTGTGCGACGTCAGTGGCGGATGCGACAACGGATATTAAAAGAAAATCGGGATCATACCTCATCTTCGGCAAATTCCGCATAGTGCATGTCCTGTATAAGGTGTCAGTAAGACGAGGCATGGTATTACCAAATTCACTCGATATTTCGTACCTTATACCAGTGTTTCTTGACACTGCCTTCGGTTCGGGTCGGGAAAGTCTGCGCCAAGTTAAAAAAAAAATCCCAGGTCAGCAACCAATAGCTTCAGCCTATAAAAATCCGCGCGCGCATACCTTGGCAATTTCACTCCAACTGCGCCCGGCATCGCGCATTGTCTTAAGCCTTTGCTCCTCCTCTGCGGTCCATGGGGTATTTGTGCGTCCCTTTTTCTTAGGCGTAGACTCGACCGTGGGAAGGGCGCCGGGGTCATCAATCCCACCCGTAGGATTCCCTTGGGCTGCCATCATGGCTGACGATCCCGCAGGGGAAGGAGGACGTTTGCGCGAAGCGCCGGGGTTTTGTTGAGGTATAGGAGCAGTCGGAATCGGGATGCCTTCAAAGGTTGGGACGCGGTGAAATGGATGGATTTGTTGTTGGGTAAGCATATGTGGGGAGGCGCTGGTAGTTGCCGACGTCTTGAGGCGCTTAGATGTCGGGGGGGGAACTAAATCGGGTAAAGAGTCAGAGAATAGAAGAGACATAAAATGACACGAGGCAATGTGATAATAACGCGACCAAGTGCACTTGAATTCCAACCCAGTCTCCCTCCCACAGCTGGAGGCCGGACGGAGATCACAGACGAAGGGACTTACGACATGGTGAAAGACACACGCGGTTTGCAATCACACTGTGCCGATTCATCTGTACATACAAAAAGGCCGCGTAAGGGGGTTAGCAGGATATGGTACTGGCGCGCCTTGGTCAACTCTCGGGAAGCGTTACACCAAAGACGATGACACAGGCGCATCCCAGGCAGAACCAGATTGACAAAGGTAACAGAGACAATAGGAAGGTATAAGTCGCGACACAGAGAAGTCCAGACTCCGACCGGAGTGTTTTAACTCCTATGTAGGTGGGGGGGGTAAGGGGAAGGCTCACAGGTCAAAATCGCATGGTCGAAGCGTCGATTCGGGAACCTCGAATTCTTCCGAATATGGGGAGAACATGAGGCTGGGAGATGGGTTGACTTTGGGAGGGAAGGCAAAGTTGAGAAGAGGAACACCCAAGAAAATAAAGGTAGAGACTTAAAAAAAAAAACACAAGGGAGAGAGGGAGAGAGAAAGAGAGAGACAAGGTTACAGAGAGAAGAGAGAAAGGAGGAAGAGGAGAGAGAAGTTGTGAGGGAAAGGCAGAGCGGGGATGGAGTCACCTCATATCACAACAACCAAAGTAATAATAGCACTTGAATTAGATATGTTTAGTTTATATAATTTAAATGGTCTATATAACTAGTTTACAGTAGTTTATATAGTGGTTTAAATGGGTTGATTTATCTTGAATGTTTTGATCATTTCTAATCTCTCCAGGG